CAAGTGTTTTGTGCCAGCCGCCGGTGAGAGAGACGCGCCCATCTTTCTTCAACTTCGCTCAATTTGGACTAATTCGATTGATTTGATTAGATCACCCCATCTTATCCTCCCCCCACCACCCTAGAGAGCGAAAGCGTCTCTCGAACCGGCGGCTGGGTAGGAGACTGGTCGTGTATTCAAGCTTGAGGGAGGTTTATGTTAGCGATACAACCATGCGAGTGCAGTATTCATCAAACTCACGAAGCGAGCAGCGAGTTTGCATAGACTGGGAAAGAATCAGCAATCGTGAACAGGTGTTGGCTAGTGATGGGGTAACTCACTCTTCCCGTATATTGTGTACAGGCCCGCGTAGACGAACTCGAAAGGAAGGGTGAGGTACTGCAAAAAGCGGTGAGACGCCTCATAACGAGATTAAAAAGACGTGCGGACCGTGATGAGGATGAGCAGGGCACAGACGCTGGTATAACTCGTGAGAACAAGCAGGATACATAGAAACTAACCACCTGACCTCGTCATGATGCCTGTTGTTAATGAGAAGGAGAAAATGCTCCATAGGACCGATTGAATCCTGTACCAAGCATGAGCGATCATTGAACATTAAAGCTGGCGAAGAACCAACTCTGCCGATAGGTCTCTCCGAGAGCGGTTGAGTTTCCAACACTTGATACTCGCGATGGCCATATCAGCAAGGGCGCGCGTCGAGGCCCAAGCTATAAGGAACCACTGTACATGAAAGGAGTCAAAGATCGCACTTGGGTGGCGTTTTGATGATTCCTACTCTAGAAGAAGGCGCATCGCCAAACGCTGGGCGCTCGAAACTGTGTTGAAGCGTTCAGCTCAAGATGTCGTCTCTTGCAGAATGCCACATACAAATGTGCGACCAAAGCTTCGCCGACGACCTTCAGACTTTGTTTGTAGGAAAGACGTTTGTGTATGCTTACCGATGCCGAACCCTGTCATTATATCAGCACTCCCAGAAGCAATCCAGATACACGGTAAACGTACCAAACGCCACAAGCGCGGGCAAAAGCTATCGACAATCGTAAGCCTGATCGTTCCGCCGCCGAAAGGAGCGCACCAGTAAAAGGTAGGATCTCTTTCGATCACCCACTGAGAGAGAGATGTTGTTAGTGTTAGGTATTTGGGACCAAGAGCCACATACGTATCCAGATCCGCGCTATGAAGAGGCTGGTGTACGTCTTGTGAGTATGTTGTCATGCATGGAATCGATGGGCACTCACGACTCGACGATTAGAGTTCCCAGTTCCTATTCATAGCTCATTCAACGAGACGCGCGAGGCATTGACAAGCTCGAACGCACCGTCGGAACAATCCTGCCCTGAGAACGATGCATACGAGATTAACCAAGACGAATGTGAAGAATGATAGCAACTGACAATGAAGCTCCTGATGGCAGAATGAGTACTATGAAACGCGGTAGTGCACGAGATACGCGCACCAGTTGACCGATGTCTCCGCCGTGATCTCTTCTGCTCCTAAGAAGATCAGATAATACCAGAGCGTATGCAACAGGAAGGCTTGTTGGACCGTCTCCAGCTTCCATTCGCTTATATGAGCACGTTGGTCCTACAGACGACCGGGAGAACCCACCGCTAGTACGACAGCAACCTGCAAAAACTTAGATACCGAGCGGGAAGAGAGCTGTATCGGGACTCACGGCCACACGCAGGACTTTCTGATCATCCTGGTATGCACTGTAATAGTTGAAGACTTGCATAATGAGGACACCGTACAGGCTATGCTCGTAGTGAGTCAGCCACCAGCTTATAGGTAGGGTTTAGCACACGCACATCATCGACAGCACTCCCAGGAAAAGCAGAGGCTCCAGCGTCCCCTGGATCGTAATGGCGGGAACCAGCACATGATGCTCCATTGTCTCTCAGGACCAGGCGAAAGAGGGAGCACTGTCAGCGGGCAAGCTCCTGAGCTATATATGCGGCCCCGAGACCAACCTACGCGCGTGTGTCGAACTTAAGGTCTTGCTGACAGATTGGCGCCCCACTATAGAGCGCATTTGGGAAGCCGAAGACATGTACACATGTCCGTATCTACGGCGCCTAAGTCAAATGCGATTGATAAAGGCCTCGGCGCGCGTGACAGCGCCGTTTAGCAGTTCCCAGATGCAGGCGATATCGCACTACCGGCGTCCTCGGACCTTCACCACACACTGCGGATGCGGAGCCAGACATAACGTACAAAGAAGCATGAAAACTCAAGACAACATTCATCGACGGCCGGAGTTTCTATACACTATAGTACATGCGGTCCCCGTCTGCAGGACCTCCTCGAAGACCGGCCTTAAGCGCGAGGGCACTTGCACTTGTCTTCATCCTTGACGTCCTTCATAACCTAGCGAGCGGAGAGGTCAGTATGGGCGCGCACGTTCGTCATCGACATCTGCAGAAAGGCGACTGCCAGCGGTTCCGTCTAGGAACTAAGGCACAACATAGATTTCAGGCAAAGGACATACCGAATCAACATGCTGTCCACACCCCTACGGGCACGCGGCGTTCTCAGTATTTGTACCTGAGCACAGAAAAGAACATGGACCAACCTTCCAAGTCGTCTTTCCGCAGGTTCCACACGCCACAGCGTAACAGGCGTCTACGGGCACGGAGGAGAGCGTAACGGCCATGACGTGCTGAAAGGACCGTTTAGGACAGATCACGGCTTGAGAATTCCCAGGATCGCCGTGTCGCAGAGGTAGAACATGCACTCACAGCAGTAGGTAGGGGAGTGAAGCGCTTGTGAAGTTATCGTGTACGACGAGATGGTGGTCGTTCAGAGGCAACCGTATGCACGACTCACCCTCACCAATGGACTCCCGTTCAGGGCCCGGGCCGATGTCTGATATAAGCCGTCGGCTCGCGGCCGAACCGCATGACGGTAGGAGCCCTCTCTTGCACCAAGAGAAAAAAATTCGATTACGACTTACTATATGCGCCTCATGTCTGGAGGTGGTCTGACAGGTAAAAAGGAGCAAGAAGAGGTTCATTGCCCATTGGCTGGATTGAACAACCGACCTCACCATTACGAGTGGCGCGCTCTACCACTGAGCTAAACGGGCATTCTCCTCTTACATTCAAACACTTGTCATCGACCAGTGCTTCAGCCGCCATATGCAACTTCAACGGCCTCAACCAAGGCTCAACACTACAAAACTCTGCAAGCGAACTGATAATCTCTATGCAATCAGATAAACACAAGCTAGCTAATGACAACATAACACACAACCGTCTCTATGTATGAGAAAATGCAGAAAAGCGCCCGATAACGAACTCGACGTATCAATGAAACGGCAGTGGGGTGTAAGACTGTTACCGAAAATCGTATCATGTATGTATGCACAAAGGTATGACAACAGAGACTAAGCGACGGGGAGGGGGGCCGACCAGGAATATAAAACAGGTGGTGAATGCGCGTAAGTATCGACATGGTAGGTGCGGGCCCGGAGAAGCGGATGTGGGGTGGGGGAATCCAGGGGTTGCGAGGGGGACGATGTGTGTTGTGGGGTTTATACAGTTGCAAGTGAAGATAAGGGGTATTGCGTGACAGGGGAGACAAAGACAGAGTGGGGGTGTTGGTATGCATAGGCACAGACAAGGACGAGCAGACTGGTTGCGGGTGGACAGGCGGAGACGAAACAAGGCGATGGGAGAAGACCGAGATGCGATGTGTCGGCAAAGATGACGAAGTCGGAAGGAGGTCCATGAGTTCGAGCAGCACTACTCCTCACTGCCGCTATCGTCGCTATCGCTATCCGGGGTTGGAGGCGTCAAGACCCTCGGCCTTGGTGAGCCTACGCCGGAGCCAACGCCCACGCTTGCGCTCGGACGCCTCCTTCGAACCTCGATAGCGGCAGCTTCCATGCTCTCGTCTTCGTCATCGCTTCCACTACTTCCTCCACTCTCGCTGCTCGAGCACTCCTCGCCGAATAGCTGACTGGCTGTTGGTCGCGGCCCATCATGCTCGTATGGATCGTGCCCATGGTCGTGACCGTAAGGATCATGCTCCTGTCCGAGCCCATGCCACGAATCGTGTTCGTCGTGCTCAGGCTCGTCCTCCTCGTCTGAATCTTGGGCGTCGTGGCCAAGCCCGTGAACGTCTCCAGGCCCATGTCCGCTCCCCTCCTCATCAAACATCCTCTGCGCCTCCTTCGCCAACTCCCTCCTCCGTTTGTCACTAGCGCTGGTCCTCTCGAAGAAGCTGCTGTCATCATCTTCGAAGCTGTCCTGACTGCTCCCAGGACTAGCGCTCGGACCCGCTTCACCCTGACCTCCAATTTCTCTCTCCTCGTCCCTCTCGAAATCGGAATCGAAGTGTTCAGGTAATCGCGGTGGTCTATCCTGCTCCTCCCAATCCTCCCCGTCGTCGCTCGATGCGTAGGCCTGGACAAGCGGACTCCTCGCGTGTGTTCGAGAAGCGTTGCCAGAACGAGACGGCGCCTGATTCGCGGGATCCGCCATTGTCGACGGATCGCGGCCCGTAACGCCATGCAAGAGCTCAGGCGGGACAGCCATGGCATGCGCGATTCCAGACGACGCGAGCGTGACGGGCACTATGCGGCCCATGTCTTGCGGAGCTGCGAATGGCACGAACCCTGGACCTCCCACTCCCGGTGTAGGCGGCATAGACACGGCTAGTGGTGTATGCGGTGCATCGGCCACACCTCCCGCGCCATAGAACATGGTGTCGTCGTCTGGTTCATCGCCAGCGCCAGAGTAGATGCTCTGACCGTCCGCATCGTGACCCGCGCTGTGTGGCAGGCTTCCCCTCCGCTTGGCATAATCCCCGACGTTGCCCCAGCTAGCAGCGCGCGCCTGCGGCGGAGTACCGAAGCCAAATCCGTCGCTTGGTGAAGAACCAGTAGCAGAAGCCGGCGTAACAGCGCCAGTGCTGATTGCGGGCTTGGTCGACATGCCAGGGGATGAGACGAGCGAGATGGATGTTACGGCATGTAACCGCGAGCTACCCACGCCTGTCGAAGTTGATGTCGAAGGAGTGGGGACATCTGAAGCAAGTGTTTGTCCGCTGGGAGAGCGCGCGAAGAGTTGTCGAATTGAGTACTTGCTCCTCGTCCGCTCCCGCTCGCCGAGTGCTCGTGTAGGGCTCAACGAACGCATGTTGCTGTCCAGCGGATCGTCCCGCGTCGCCATTGTCGACACAGACCCGACAGTGCCGTACTGTCCGCCGCCTGTGCCGACCGAAGATACGCCACCACGAGAGGGCCTGTCTACTGAACGCGCACGGTTGTTAGTTGGGATCGGTAACCCGCGCCGCACAAACTGCTGACTCTGATGTCGCGCCGGCTGTGCTTCCTTCTTCCTTCGCGGCGGCGTGACCTGCGACGCTCCAGCGCTCCTCGACGCGCCGCCCACACCGGCACTGCGCGGGCGCGCAAAGCGGCCCATAGCAGCACTCGGTTCGGAGTGGATGCCGACCTGGTCGCGCGCATGCCGGGGCGGAAGCACAGGCCCTCGAGCGCCTTTGCCTCCAAGCAAGTTCTTGATCCGCTTGCCAATCTCACGCGGCGTCCAACGAAACTTGACTTGGGTGACTGCCGTCTCGTATTCATCGGGCGTGACACCTGGCGGAAGGTCGTCGTCGTCATTGTACGGATCGTCAAGCTCCTCCGGCGATTCTCGGTCATGGTTCGTGAGTTCGTGTTCAGCGTCGTCCGATGTCGTAGGCGTGCTCGGTTCAGGGGGACTAACGGTCTCCTTGACCCAGGCGTCCGAGTTGGAGATATCTCGCATAAACCATGGGTGGCGCTACAAAGTTGAAGGGCGTAAGATGAATGCGAGAGAGGCACGGACAAACTGATGGACGAACCTTTACTTCTACGAGTGTCGCCCGTTTCGAGGCGTCCTTTTCGAGAACGCGTTCGAGAAGGTTGATCACCAGCGCACCCTGCGTCGGCTCGGGCCCGCTGAGATCTGGGGGACGACCGCCGGTAGGGAGCTTATCGTAACCCATAGTCGCAGGGACCTCCCAGTCCTCGGTGCATATCATCCGGTACAACGCGTACTCGTTGCCTTGAGGCGGATGATAAGGAACGTGCCCGAAAAGCATGCCATAGAGCGAAACGCCGAACGCCCAAACGTCGACAGCCTTGGTGATCGGAGGTCTAGTCGGAACGGCGTGGAGAGTCGACTTGGAATCGCGTTTGGTGGCGGAAGGCTCGGCCAGGCTGGCTTGGGACGGGACGGTCGACACAGGGTCCGTGCCGTACTCGTAGATGACCTCGGGCGCCAGAAAGGAAGGTGTGCCGGCCGTCTTGCAAAGCTCTGAATCATCGAACAGGAGGTTCAAGTCGTCGGCCGAGCTCCTTGTGCGCGTGTGCTCTTCTGAACGGGCAGCATGTGCAGCGGAAATGTGAGCGACGCCAAAATCGGCAATCTTGACCATACGCCTGTCTTCTGTCCAAAGCAGGTTGGCGGGCTTGATGTCGCGATGGATGATTCCTTGCTGGTGCACTATTCACATAAGGAGGTTAGGGGGGAAGGTGTCAATGCAAATCTGATGAAAGATTGAACGCACGGTATTCTAGACCGAGGATGACATCCCGCGCTATTCGCCTCACTTGGTCCACTCGCAGAATCGGCCGCGCCGCGTCGTCGCGCCATTTGACCTCGCCGCCGCCCAAGTACTCCATGACTGCGAACGGACAAAAGTGTCAGCAAACGCGAACGGGAAACACAATTGGAATGTTCGTGATGAGAAGCATGCACAGTTCAGGAAAGCAGATCACGCCCAAGAAGCATTCCGAATTCGGAGAGGGGGAGAACATACGTACTCATGTATACTTTCTTGTACAGCTTGTCATCAATGACTTCGAGCAGCCTGACGACGTTCGGGTGTTTGCACTTTTTCATGACGGCGATCTCCTTCCTGATCTTGTGCTCCGTACTCGAGAAGTTGTCCGTCACTGGCATGTGCGAGCCCGACGCTGGCAAGCGCTGCTTCTTCCTGAGCTCCTTCACCCGGTCCTGCCGCGGATTCTTCCTGCTCACGACCTTCATCGCCTGCGCAGAGTACACATATTAATAAGGGGCACGTTTGATATATCAACGCGAACCACGCACCCTGATCGCGAAATTCTTGTGCATGTCGTAGCAGATATAGACGGTCCCGTGCTGGCCGCCGCCGATCTTGGAGCCGCGCTTGTACTGGTTGAGAATATATTCGGACTTTGTGCTCCCTGTGTGGGCCTCGCGCACGGTCGCCTTGACCTCGGTCGTCATCCGCACATCGTCGTCCGGGTCAAACTCGAACGACGAGTTGATCTGCAGCACGGGCGCGTCCATCCCCGCCTATGCATGTACACCTCACGCGTACGACTCTGCACGCGCGATTCCGACGGGCGGTCTATAGTGGGAGGAGGGAGAAGGAAGCAGAGTGAGGGTCGTGGTAGCGCGTCGAAGAGTTCGGTCCGTGCGGTCGACGGGTCCGCGCCGTCAATGGCCGTCAATCATTTCTTGCGTAAAGCTCGTTACCTACGTCATACCATCACCCTCATGAACTTTACCGACTCTACTCCCACTCTCTATTGCCATCTCGCCCATCCTGCGTGCTCAAACGGCCCTGTAGACTCACTTTGCAGTGAAGGGTGTGCAGATGACGTTCGCACCCATTCGCACGCCCGCTGATCATGGCATGCTGACACCGCACTAACGAACATGGAAGATGCTTTCGAGATAACATGCCCGATGCTGTATAATCCTGCATGACAATGCACGCGATACGGGAGAAGCAGGGCGGCTCACACTCGCCGCGGTGCCTATAGACGGAAGGTGCAGGAACCGCAGCGCCTATCCGGCCTGCACAAAGACGGCCCAGGAGAGGATCTGGTGCAAGCGCGGTGCCACTGCCGACGGGTCCCGGCCATTCTCGAGCCCGCGTGCCCATTCCAATGCGAACGTTTCGGCTGACTAGACATTCCGCCACATGCAAGATCGCCTATAGTACTTGCCCCATATACGAGGACTGGCCAGAGGCAATTAGATCATAGATCTTCTTCCTAAAGGAACACCATTCGATTAGTCACTTTTGCTCAAACTGTTCGCCTCTCATTCGTAACAGATTCGTTTTGAAAAGCCCATGAGTCAATCGTAATCATCGAGGAGCTTGTACGATCACAGATATGAGGATAAGCTATGAGTTCAAGTGCAGAGATAGTCATTCCTTCATCATAATGTACAAACAAGATGTGGATACAGCACATAGTACGGTGACGTTGGTAACCCAGATGAACCAATTCAAGCGCCTTCTGCTCGTGGATATGAGACTTTGGAATCGAATAGTCAGGCACGCCAAGTCTGTCTACGACTGCTAAGTGCTAAAGTCTACACTGAACAACATCGCGACACCCTCCCGGGAACCTGCATAACGCATTGTTATCAGGTCGGCACGCTTGAGAGCGACTGAATCTGGCGAGCAAGGTACTGTTGACGGGGACCCATGCACCGGCTGCCCAATGTCAGGTCGGTACGCGCTCTGCAGCATGATCTCAGCTGGCTTAGATTGGTCGGCAATCCCGCTTATGAAGAACTGCGTCGTCTTCCGTTCCAGTTTGCGGTTCCAGCTGATACACAACGCGTCTCTCGGGATAGCTGAATTGAGCAGTAAATGAGCAGATGTTCAAGATATACCGCTGAGCGCATTCCATGCTTACCGTCCGTTGAGCTTTTGGCTGAGATAATGACCGTTCGGAATCCATCACGAACGGTTCCCGGCGCCACTTCGCGATGGGTGAAAACGAGGTCTGATGCGTTGGGAAAGACCTCCAAGTGTGCATTAAATACGCCGCCGTTACAGGTTTTGTTAAAAAGCGGGATTGCCTCGAGAAGCATGCGTATAGGTGTAGCCATGGTCTATGCTGATCGTTGGTGATGTCGGAGAGTGTGAGGGGGCGAGTGAAGGAAAATAGTGAATCATTCCACTATTTATATAGTACGAAAGCATGCCTCCGGACATGCGCCCATGGTTTGAACCATTGAGAGATGCATCCGAATCCTGGTGAGGATAATTGAAGAGGGTCAATGGGTCAGCGCTACACCACAAGCTGGGTTGGCCCGATGTACGCTGGAACAGACGATGCCTCTCCATATCACCAAAATAAGATCATAACACTTGAATCTACATCAGAGATAGCTGCAATATCGTCTTCAGACAGCGCTACAGATGTACCAGTGTTATACAACCGGCTTCTTGCACTGACCCATGGCAATGAGACCTGCCGCCGCCCATGGGTCGACATTGTTCATGATTGGAGCATCGCCGGCCCACGCTGTCAAGCCAGTCCACAGGCCATATTCTTTACCGTCTCAAAGCCAGGGGATAGTTGATCGATGTCGTGGACGTGGTGGGGTAAGGTCAAGAGTCTCCCGAACCATCGGCACGCTGGTCCGCCTCTCCGTTGATCCGATCACCAAGCGCCAGACGCGTAGGAAGTGCCAGCTTCAGACAATGACAAGGAGCGTCGCTTCACTTCCGCGCCTGAGCTCATTTGGTACCACTTTATCGGATCAGTCTAGTAGTGAGAAGCACACAAAGATATGACCGCATCAATTGTCCCAGTCTGAGGTCACTCAAGTCGCGCTGGGCTCAGTGGAAAGAAGAGGGAAGAGGGATTCATCATTGCGCAACAAAAGTGTATTATACAGTACAGTGATATATCATTTGCATCGTCAGAAAACAGCAATATCAGGGGGTCAAAGCACAGAGGAAACGATATCGTAGCAGTCTACCCAGTCTAGGCATCGTACAGTATGTAGAAACCTCTACGTCCGCAGACTCAGCGAGGCATGGACTGACCTTGACCCGGCATTTCCTGGCCCGGCGTCTGCTGCGGCTGTCCAGCCATATTACTGATGTACGAGCCCCAGTCGTCGAACCTGCGCGCGAACATCAGTACAAGCACCAGAAGTACACCAAAAGGATATACGCACCCGTATCCAGTCGGCATATTACTCCACATATCCATGTTCATACTATTCATCCCAGTTCCGGCCATCGGGTCCATCGCAACGTCCGCTCCCATCCCAGTCGGCATTCCCGCAAGCAACGCGTCGAACATGTTCATCTGCGACGGGCCACCCAACCCACCGACGTTCATGTTTTGTGCGGCAGGATCCACACCAACACCAACGCCCCCGGGAACGAGGCCGTTACTGCCGGGTACTGCGCCAAGGCTCTGATCGAATTGACTGGCGGCAGGTTGTGTAGGGAATAGGGGTCCGCCCCATTGACCGGGAGCAGCCATACGCCCAAGCTCGTCCGTGTTCATGGGGAGAGGCTCGAACATGAAGGGCGAAGGCTGCTGTTTCGGTATGGTCTGATGA